TTCACAGGCTCTCATAACAGGCAGTTTCTGTCCTTTGTCGATAGCAGAAAAACTTGTCGTCTTGCGATTCGTATTTTTCCGGGGGAACTGCTCCTGAGATAACAGTAAATGGTGGAACTACCGACGGCTTGGGAAGGACGCAACAATCCTGGCATGTTATCGGCATTAAAAAAACTGCGGCGATCAATTAAAGGGTTGGGTTTGATTCCAAATGGTGTTTTCACTCCAGTGGCACTGGACTAAAACTACTATTGAATAAAATTGATCGATTAAGTGCTAACGATTCGAAAGGTTTCATAACTAAGCCAGGATTTAAATAAAAGTCCTCGCAGAAGGCTCACCTAAATAGTGTGCTGGGTTATTGCATGCGTTTCATTGGCACTAGAATGTTCGCTATATCAGCTTCTATTACACACACTGCATACTCCAACTGAATAATTGGATATACGATACGGTAGATTTGACCCTTTCAATCAAATCAACAGGTGCTAGTATCTATTTAGTATATGTTTGACAATGTCATTGCTCATGTAACGAATTTTGTTGTGCATGACGGAGAGAGCCGTGCGAAGCAAACATTCTAGGCGGACGGATAGATGAACAGAGGGAAAGCCAGCCGACAGGAGAACTATCGAGCTTGTTTCGTTGAGCGATTAAAACTGATTTTATGACACTCAGTGAAATTTCAAAAACAGTTTTAATGTTGGCGCTTGTGAAGAAAAGAACTGCAGACAAGAGAATAACCATAATCTTTGCCGCATTGTCCAACATTTCTTCACTACAGCAGGAGAACATTATGGAAAATAACAGACTGTAATATTTTAGCTGAACCTGTTTAATTACAGCATTCATTTAGAACATGTTGAAATCCAGTGGCAGAAAAATTAGAAGAAAAAAAGCGAGTGGTTGGAAAATGCGGTCACAAATGGCAAACACAAACCGGGTCACGTACGGCGCTGTTTGCAGAACGGTCTTGTCCGGGACGATTTTACAGAATCATGACAGAAAATGAAAAAAAAAATTGCCAGGAAGCTTTAAAATCTTTCCAGTGTTGTTTATGCTACAGGCTGGAATGACAACATTGCTTTAGAGCGTCATTGCTCATTCCTAAAGAGGACAAACTTTTCATATTTTTGGATTGCATGGTTGCTTAAACATCATGACGTTATCAGAGGTGTCTCACTGTTTTTGTTTAGATGTGAATCTATCAGTTTATCGAACATTTTCACTTATTCTTGCAAAGAAAGAGCTCAGAGGAGAAAATATCACATGTCGCTATTATCTGTCACGATATGCGCCGCTTGTTTCGCTTATAATCTCGTTACTCATCAAGTAGTGCAGATCAGTAAAGACTTCATTTGCTTTCGTCTCCCACTTCAAAGCCTCACAATGAGTTCAAACACATTCTAGGTCTCTTCGAAAAGTAGGTGCCCAACTACTGGCACGCTGAGCCGTGCCGTAAATGCCAGGCGCATTAAAGCGTAGGACAAAAGGTTCTAACGGAATAAACATCGCGCAAAATGATTCAGGGCGCCTTTAAGGTACATGCCAGTCTCATAATTACAAACATTTTGTTGAATCGACGTGTAGAATACAAACAACACTCATATGAGCACATTTGCAAACCTATGGAAAAATTTGTTTTTATATAGGAAGCTGAAGTCGTTCTGGCATTGCAAAACCATTGTGATGACCTCCTAAACCTGTAGAAGTCTCCCTGGCATACCAAAAACAAGATGATCATCACCTGAACCTGTCTATTCCTAGTGTTATAATGTGGTCGTTTACGAACGAGAATGAAACTCTACCCACCACTACGCTTTCAAATTGGAAAAATATGTGAATTGAATGACAGAATAAAATGTATATAGACATTTCAACTGAAAAAATTAAACACATGGAAAGGTTTGGACTAGGCGACGTAGTACATGGAGGAATACTGCAATATTTATGAGCTGGATGCATTGATTTGTCTAAAAAGGGCCAAATGGTAATTGTTCGAAGCACTGTTCATACATTCACCGTTTTCTTTCTCAGAAATCGCGAGGCTGTTAAAGAGCATACGCTTACTTCCATACAATAGCACACATACAACACAGCCGTAGCTGACGCAGTTGTCAACCATATGCGACTCTGAGCGGCTGTTCTTCCTCGGTGGAAGACAGGTGAGAAAAAGCAGAGGGTTTTTCGAAAAGCCGTAGATCTCATAATTATCGTTCAGGTCTTCACCTTTCTGTTTGTGCTGTTGAACCATTTGATCTAGTAAATTGCGTGTTAGGTAGCCTTCCAGGCTCTGAAGAAGGCGATTCTGCCGAAACGTCAGCTACGGTTGTGTTGTATGTGATCTTCTTGTAAGAAAGTAAACGTATGCTGTTTAACAACCTCGCGATTACTGAGAAAGAAAACGATGAATTTATAATCCAATTCCGAGGTTAATAGAAAGTCAATCCTGGGCGCTCTTCATAACTGAAATTAAATTCCAGTTAAGGTATTAGAAATTAAAAATAAGCTTGTTTGCTGAAGTATCCGATGACCTCGTTAGTGACAGCGAAAAAGAGCTGTGATATTTTCTCGAAAGTAAGTCAACTACAGAACTTTGTAACGGAAATGCTGAGGAAGTATGGCAGGTGGTCATTTCATGGCTACATTCCATTGACGTTAAAGCTTTTTTTTAATCTGCGCTATGGATGAAGCGAAGAAGAAAAGATTTGTTAGCCAGAGTAAATCCATGAGAGTTGATAGCGACGCTTCCAACTAAGTGGGAAAGCAAAAAAAATGATGGTGTTGTTCGATCGACAGAATAGGCAAAAAAGAAAGGGAGATATGAAAGAAACGGTAACAAAATACGATTTTGGAGGATATTTCAATGAAAAATATAGGGCACTCTGACTCCAGAATTCTGAAGCGATCTGCAATAGACATTAGTACGGCGAGTTCTGTTGAAATTCATCAACATGTGGGAGGTTTCCGGTTGGGCCCACACACCCACCCACCTATTCATCCTCATCGGCGGTGGGCAAAACGTGGTAGTAATTCAACAAGCTGACGATGCGACCACGGGTGACGGTGTTCATTGAAACTTGTGAATGAACGTGAATATTTGCACATCACCTCGATGAAGCAGATGTCTACATTCATTGTTTATTTTCGTATTGTTCCACCATAGTGCAATTGTTCACAACGAGATTAGCACTTACGAGTGAAGTGGAAATTTTAGGTCAACGATAGCATTCGAGGATGAGGAACTTCATGGGTAGGTTCTAATTTGCTTCTATGAGGTTTAGAAAAGTTTTATTTAAGATAGAGCTGGTTCGGTGTTAGAACCAGTTGAAAGAATCCGGGAAATAGAGAATTGTTGAGATACAATGACAAGTCTAACGATTCCGTTTTCGCGATAACTCTGCGGAAACCTGCATGTGATCCACTGCTTCGACAGAGGCTCTCGCTTTGAATTTCTCTCAGGCGGTTTTTTTTACCCTAACGGTGTAATCAAAAATCACCCGTTAACGGGAATAATCTGGGGGCACAAATCGGCACTGAACCCAGCTAGGCTAAGGCTGCAGTCGAAATCACGATGTTTAACTTTGTTTACTGCTTGTTACTTTTCTCCTGCGTCATTGTGGTTGTATTTCAAGCAATGGCTTGCCACGAAGAGAAGTTATTAGGCAGTAAATAAAAGTTGGTTATTATGATTCTGTATTCATTCCTAAAAGCCGAATTTCATTCATCCTCGGATTAAAAATCAATAGTTTCTTGGATTATTGAGCTGAAATGAGGTTGGTATAAAAATATTGAATCGGCTAGCGTTTCAGCGTCCTCGCCTTCTTTAGAGCCAGATTTATCCGAATTGTTGCTTCAGAGGTGGTCTCGCGATCGAATCCAATGAAGTGGAGCACCCATGCAATGAAGAGCCTCACTCGGCGGGGAACAAACAACTACATCGCTATGACAACCACCTATGTGATCATCTATCCAAATCAATACTGCTCTGAAGAAAAAGAAAACGTCGAAACTATAGCCAAATAAATACTTTTGTACCAACGTCGTGTTAGCTCAATAATACAAGAAACTGTTCATGCCTATAATATCCATTTTTAAAAAAATAGCACTTATTTATGAGTCGTAGACGATACAGAGCGTGATTGCAGCGTTGTGCTAAGATGGTTAATCCGCAGTACGCACACCTCTACTGAAACTGAGTTCGAGATCAAACCTAGCCTTCGAGTCCAGATAACAGACGCCATAAGTTCACCCAAAAACCTTTCTACGGCTATCTATTGATCAAAAACAGCTCAAAGAAAAATTGAGTGCCAAAGATATGATTCACTTCGTGTTTTTCCAGCAACGGAAGCTCAGCAAGCAGCTCTGACGCATGACAAGAACGAATAGAAACATTATTTGTTTCCTATTGATTTCGTTGATGAGAGGTGAAATCAGAACTGATAGAAATGGCATTGCAGTGATTCAATGTTTTTCATCAATAAGCAGACACGAGGTTGTTAATATAGAATTTATTAGAACACAATTGCTGACGTTTCGGCGGTTTCACCTTCTTCAGAGCCGTTTATTTGTTGTAAGTATTTAAGTTAGTTGGTGGATAGCCGCCGCACAGAGTAATACATGGTCGACAGTTATCGACTAACTAACAACTAACAACTAACTTAAATACTTACAACAAATAAACGGCTCTGAAGAAGGCGAAACCGCCGAAACGTCAGCAATTGTGTTCTAATAAATTCTATATTAACAACCTCGTGTCTGCTTATTGATGAAAAACATTGAATTATCAATTAATGCCGAGGTTAACAGAAAGTCGGTCTTGGGAATTGCAGTGATTGTCTTCGAAAACATACAAACTCAACCGAGCTCAATAATAAGTTGACGAAGAATGCAGCCGACTTGTTCATTGTAGAAAATGCACAACCCCTAAGCTTAAGCTTATCTAATCACTACAATGAAGCTCTCATAAAGAGTTACATTTTCGAGTTCTCTTTTACGAAATGTGGTCGATTGTCATCTGGATGACGGTGTTCAATTTCGTTTCTTCAGAATCGACGAATATGAAGTCTTGTGATGTGGTAAGACCATTTATGTAGTCCAGATAAAGGTGAAATTAGTCAGTGATCATAGCAAAAAAAAAACAAAATTTGGTAATACTACGGAATAACGACACTTTAGGTATGTTATCGATTATATCGTGTTCCGACCAATTGCCCTAATTCGGCTTTCGGTGCTGCTGAGCTGGGTAATTAAGCGAGATATTCAGTTCGTGCCTGTGGCGCAGTGGTTGGAGGACCACTGCGGCACACACATTGAATCGATTCCCGCGCCCGTAGGCCACCAAGCCTCCCATCCCCCCAGCATCGACAAATTGATACCAGACTTGTCTGGGAGGATACACTGGCTCGATACATCCACCACGAGTCATTGTAAAGGTCAAATATGCATTTAGTCACTTCCGACGATACTTAATGAAGTCGAATGCATGGCGTATCCCTCAGGGATTGATCAATTTTTATTTCTTTTTATTATTCATGATCACGAAGCTACAATCGGAATAATCGGAACAAAAAGAAAAGTCCAAGTGTGCCAACTCATGGCGATTCTCCCTCTACATTCCAGCAAGTAATAGATGCTGTTAGACAAGTGATCCAGAAGGGTTGCAGCTGAAGCGGATCAACTTCCACACTGCTGATATGGTATCGCGCACGATTTCTTCGTCATTCTAGCACTATTTTAGCCTAAGCGATCAGTGTTTATTGAATAGCCCCTTATTCAAAGCAACAAACGTTCTAAATGAAGTAGATACCCGGCCGTCCTATTGAGTTGCTCGGATGTGCGCCAATAACTTTCAGTTTGTCCATCCCGTCAGCAACGAAGTTATTTACATATTCCCTTGATATTTGTCAGCATTTCATGTACACATTTTTAATTTTAATATATGACTCCACATCAACTTTTGTTACTCCCGTCACCAACACTTCTTTCACTCGGTTCATTGATTTTATCGGTCGTCCACAGAGGTCACCAAGTTCACGCGCTAGTTCTGTTCTCGCTTGAATACTTCGTCTCCCTCATGAATGTCGTTGAAGTCCGGTGGATTTGATTTGTCTTAGAATTTCTGGAATAGCTCTGTTATAGCGTTTCCAGGTCTTCAGAATCGAAGCAGTGAGCCGCCTTTTTACATCGGAGGAAAATTTTCACAGATCAATTCGCTAGCTCCGAAGCGATGCATGGCTTTGTTCACTTGTTCACAGGGTCAAAAAGCCAGCTATGCGGATAGTATTGCACGGTATCTGAGGATAATACAACTTCATCACCATTGTTAGGAAAAAACAATGATAAAAAGCAAATATGGCAAAGGCTTCATTTCGTTTTAAACTTCTAACTAGTGTATATGTTTATTTCAGCTCTATTACAGAGTTGAGAACGGCTACAATCAGAAGCGAGTGGTAGTATTTTATGACGAACGGTTCGAGGATTTAGCTGGCGAAATTGGCTGCGTATTGTCTAGCTTAAATTTGTCTCCAGGTAGTAGCAATGTCTCGTTGCCGAGAGGCATCACTCTACAAGAGATCTGCAAAAGACCAGACGTGAGTTATGATGGAGTCGCGAGCTCTAACGTTAATTTCATTGAACTGCTGAAACTGAAATTATGTAAAGCAGCCATGAAATAAGAGGACGATGACACTCCAACGGAGCGTCGATAACCAGAGATAAACGGAAATCCAGCTAGTCATCGTAAACTCAAATTTTGCTTTCAGTTTCGAAATCACACCAGCAAATTGCATCTATCTGTGACCATTACGGAGAGTAAATCTGTAAGAGTTTTTCTTGCTGCCAATTTCCATTCAAGCTTCAAATCAGCTTTTTAGATGGAGGAGATATGCGTTAACAACGCCATCATGTTACATATGAAACTACTTTTTAACGAAAAATGGATCGCTCATATAATTACACCGCGTTCGGATCTCATAGTTCCACTCCAGACCAGCAAAAACCTCGGTAAACACTAGTAATCTTTTCAATGCAGATATCCTAGATCCAGTTCTGTTGTTGATTAGTGATTTTGACAATTACAGAGCCGATGTCGGAATCGTTTACGGTTACAATGGAGGCAGTGGCTATGGCATGGGGTCCAGTACACTTCCTACAAGACAAATCCAAGTACAAATCTCTTTCAGATATCATTAAGGCGCTTAAAGTACGTATAGTTCATGTAAGGGTGTCAGTATTTTGTACATGTAAAAGATGCGTATTGGTTTGAAATGCGTAAGTCGAGTTCAATAGGCAACATTCAGAGTCGGAATCTATAGATAACCGTAATACTTTCAAATCAAAAGACAAAATCTTTGCGACTTAATAGACTTTAGTCATTTTTTTAAGAGTTTATTCTTGAAGGCACGTCTTCAAATAATACTCCGTCTTACCTTTGGTTGTTCATCAACCTAGGTGTTCTCAAGCATCCACTGTTAGTGACTCCCTTTGCCACTTTGTTACTGAGGAAGCACCATCTTCAATGATGGCTCTGTATTAAAACCCAACTTAAATGTCCCTTTTCCATATTTCGTAGATTAAATTATGTAGAAATTATAAACCACTTTGGAAATGTCTTTTATGCGATTTAATAAGTATTTGATGAGCCGTAAATGTGGATTCCTAACAAATTCTATCTCGTAATCAGCATTTGTCCAACGCTATGTTTAGTTGACAAGAGACAACCAAAGGTTGACAGTACTTGGATACTTGGACGGCCCGTCTTTACTGAATGTGCTGGCCCCAGACTAATCGTCATTTTTTCGGAGATTTGCTGGTTTAGCCATTGTGTTTTTCCGGAATTCCGAGGTCAGGCTGGCCAAAGTCTGCCCCAAGTTGTCACCACCGCAGACAATTGCCACCCTTATGGATCAGAGGGAGATTTTCGACAATGCGACTTTGATGCCAAGACGGTGGTGGACCCTGGCATTGGTTTACTCTTAGCGAGGCTTCCTGATAGAAACGCTGGACTCCTTCTCAGCTTAGGAGGCCCTGCCGGGGAGAAGAATTCCCCCGCTGTACATCGCAGTCCGACACCAAGGAGCACCTCCCATCCACGAAGAGGCGGTAAACCGTTAGCAGGCAGTTGATGGTGCAGCAAGTTTAATTAAAATTAGGAAAACAGTTGTAGGAAATGTTTGCAAAATTCTGTACTAGTGATCGCAGTCACAGAGTTATCCAATAATTTTTAAAATAAGGTGATTTGCAAGCTGCTTATAAGACAGTAGCTCGAAAAATATTCTGCTGTTGACTTCTAATATTACTGTACAGCTGAAGTACTCAGGTACGGCAGTCGATCTGCCATATCGCGGTAATATTCTGTTTGAATGTGTACGTTTCAGCAAAATTTACTTTGACGTTTCAGAAAAAATACGTTCTAATACCAACAGTGGTCGTCCTCATGGTATTCTGCATTGCTTTAGTGGCGTCGTTCGGTTATTTGGCTAACCGTAAAAAACGAGCAGCTGTGCAAAAAGCAATGCAAAACCGAAAAGCTCAACTCCTAGCGGATTGGGGAAATGAGACTTTGGAGGTAAAGAGACAGAGCTATGGTTCTCATTAGAACAACATAATGACAAGCGGATGTTTTTTTTGGTTAGGGTGATATCGAGTGGAAGATCGACGATCCAGAGGGGAACGATGCCGCTGATTCGTTAAAGCCAGCCGATCAAACGTCGCTCATAACACACCGATCTGGGCGGCAAGCCAAGTCAGAGATCAGTATATTGTCATTTAGAACTGTGAGAGCTTAGAAACCTCGAAAACATTGATGATTTTTTCTCACTTTCCCATTTTAATTTTTTTAAATACAGCGATGAAATCAGAAAATTTTACATTGTACATGGCATCTACTGTTTCACAGCTACTCTTTCTGGACGAAAAATAAAAAATTTCTTGTCCTGTATTTTCTATGAAGTCGAACATACGGCATGCCGGTTGCTCAAACATTTCGCTGACCATGATTTGTGGGACGAAACCACGACTGAGGAAAAAATGACATCTTTCATACCAATTGAAATGGTTTTACCCACATGAAAAAGACTAATTGAAAGAAGTACGCGTAGTACTAACAAGTTCAAGTGGTTCATTGACAAAAGGCTTTCTAAGGAAAGCGCTCCAGTAATGTCCAGGCGGATTTTTTCCGACTTTTCAAAGCAAGCCGTTCATTGTGCTTGGCGACTTTGAACTAATCTGAAATGGTAATAGCGATCACCTCACCCATTTCTTTGTAACAAGTTCGGATGCTTACCGATTTTTGGAGAAGCACGCATGGGTATTGGCCTGAACGCCTTTGGAAATGGAATAATTTGATCTTACTTAATTGTCTCCACAGTGATCAACTTGAAAGTTTCATTAAAAGACTACTCAAAAACTTAACCTTTTCATTTACTGCCCACTCTTTTTAGTAACAGGGTGTGTTGCAAAATATAACCTCTATGATGCTGAGATATTTGCAAAACTCCGAACGGCAGGTGACTGCGGTGAGGAACCAACGCGCTATTGTCCTTTCCGGGAAGTAACGAGTTCACCACCACACTATGCGAGTTCTTCGTTTCGCCTCGTTGTCGAGTGATTGCAGATGACACTGATCGGCAGAACTAGCTGAGAAGAAGGCGAAACGAAGGACCCGCATGGTGTGGTGATGAACGCGTTACTCCCCGGAAAGGACAACAGCGCGTTCGTTCCCCATCGCCGATCCGGAGTTCTGCAAATATCTCAGCACCATAGAGGTTATATTTTGCAACATACACTGCTCAAAAATAAAAAAAAATAAAAAAATAAACCATCAAGAAAGTGATCGTCAGAATACAACCACAACGATCCTGAGTTATTTTCAAAACCCCGGACCGCAGGCGTTTGCAGTGTGGAACGAACGCGATACAACCCTTTCCGGGGGCTAACGGGTTCACCGCCACACCATCTGGGTCCTTCGCTTCGCCTGTCTCCCAGCTAATTCTGTCGATCAGTGCCATCAGCAATTACCCTGATAGATAGAATTAGCTGAGAGACAGTCGAAACGAGGGACCCGCATGGTGTGGTGGTGATCGCGTTGACCTTCGGAAAGGGTAATATCAGGTTCGTTTTCCACAGCAGACACCTACGATCCAGAGTTTTGAAAATATCTCAGCATCGTTTTGATTGTATTTCGCATAATGTCCTGCCGTGAAAGTTGCAGAGGTAGAAAATAAGAAGCAAATATCGTCAAGATATCAAATAAAGAATTTAAAGTGGCGCTGTTAATATTTCCATTATGGATTAATGAAGCTTTGCATCGACATTGTTGAGATATGGGAAAAAGAACTGTATTTGCCAGAAACAAGAAGAAGAACAACATCAGAACAATTTTGTAGGATAAAAAGTATCCTTACGACATTTTTCACGGCAAGGGACGAAGAGAAAAGCTAAAATATAACCCATGGACTGTGCACGGTACAACTAGAAACTCGAGAAATCATGTAGGACTTCCCAAAAAAAGTTGGTGGATTTATTGTTCTCAAGAGCAGTCTTTCAGATTTCCCTCAGGTTGCCACGCAATTGGCTTAGATGCCGCAGAAGCCAGCGCCCCGTAAACATCCGGATATCTGAAACAGCATTTCGTTACTTCTTAAGATTTCTAGTCGATTGCCGTGTGCTCTGTTGACGGGCAGTTCATTCAGCGATTACTGGAAAAACTTTGTGTTCCGGTTTATTGTAAACTTGCTCAACAAGGATATCGAGAGTTATTTAGTTGGTTCTTTCCAAATTCTAATCCACTTAGGAGCTATCTTTCTGAGCATTTCGATGGAAAGCCATTGCTATGAGCCACCGATAACTTTTCGACGAGAACAAAAAACGGAACAAACAAACAAAACGACAGCAAGCACATAATGTGATCTGAATTTCTTTGAATCATCAGGAGACTTCATCGGAGATTCTATAAAGAAACTTATCGGACTCTCGCCTATCTGTGTCGTTGAGCGGAAGGTTCTTCATGGCTTCCGCTTTGTATTATAACAGAGAGAATGTCATACTTTCTTATGGGCCTCATTTTGTTTGCTTCTACGGTTTTTGACTACAGGAACCCAGTTGTAGCACAGCGGATTCTACCGTAACCTTTGCTAAACTTAGCCGGATCTCTGGATACAAACGGAATATTTTGCATCTTGGATAGCTCTACTTTGAAGGACAGCAGAGTTGCATTAAAATATTAACGTGTACATAACGAAGCATTCTGAAAGAAGGGTTCAGAAAAAAAACTCCGGAAAGGCAGTTGTGGAATTCATTTAGTAAGCCCTACCTGTTCAATAGAAAGTCGATATTACAACCATCGTGTAGACACGCACAATCCAAATCTTCCAGATTTTTCTCGAAACGCTGAAGATATCGCATGAACTCGAGTGGAAAAAGAAAGCAATGAAAATGATGTACAGAAACGAAATTTCATTAAGTGGTATTGTTGGGACAAAACGATGAACGATTTCGACTTTTCATCATGTTTGAAATTAAAAACAGATTCGCCTTTAAATGAAGGATTCATCAGTAGTCCTAGTAGACTGAAAGCTCAGAAGGCTTCAGTTCATCTGTATCACCCGTAGTCCCGTTGATCGTGGAGTCACTTCAGCGGGCGCCAGTAAATCTTCCACTTTTCCTTGTCGCGTGCAAGAGTAGCCCAGTGGGTTCCGCTCGCTTCAACGGCCCGCTGAGTATCATAGCTTTCTTCCAGGATTTTCGTGAATAACTCTGACTACCTGATCGGTGGTCTTTCTGCCGTACGTTTGACATGCCAAGGAATCCAGTTACTGACAACTCTTGTCCACTGGTTGTCATTCATACGCATTACGTCTCCGGTCCACCTTATCTTCGACTATTTGGCGTACAGAACAGCATCCATGATTTTTCATCGTTGACGCAGATGGGAGCTTCGGATCCCATCCCTTACTTGTGTGAAACGGGATACTCCTAGCATCGTCCTTTCAACTGCACGTTCGATTTTTTTCGACGCTGAGTGATCTTTCATCCTGCTTTTGTAGGGACCAGGTTTCTGACGCATAAGCTAACGCAGGAAGTACCGTTGAGTCGAAAAGGTGGTCAAACAGTCGGGTGTTCTTTGTTCTGTTCACTACATAATCGCTGCTCCTGAGAGCTCCCCAAGGTGCTCGTTTCTTTCTACTGAACTATGGAGCTCAGTCGTTCGTCATGTTGATTTCTAGATCTAGATAGACGTAACTGGATCATTCGGAGATGCTCATTTTGTTGAGCTTGAAACGCATACGAAACCAATCTGTTCCTTATGAGCATCGTTTCTGTGAGATTTATTCGATGACCAATCTTTCCATAGGCTTTATCAAAGTCGGCAAGCATTCGCTCCGCCTGGCTAATGTTTGGTGTTATAAGGACGATGCCATCAGCAAAGCGAAGATGGTGTAATCCACGACCATCGATTTTCACTTTTGTGTTTTCACATTCCATTGCTCGCGTATCGCCTTGCCTAACCCTTCTTTTGACGTCGATGTTAATATCGCTGTAGAACTGTGATGTCTTGGTTGTGAAATCTTTATATAGCTCACGAAGAATCTTTGTATAGGAGCTGCCTTTTCACTGTCCAGGGATTCGATAACTGCTTCTATTTCAACTGAGTCAAAAGCTTTTTTTAAACAGATAAAATTGAGTTAAAGCGGTCTACCGTACTCTCGCTATGCGTCTTGTTATCGTGTGGATGCGTTCCATCGCACTAAATCCTTTTCGAAACCCTGCTTGCTCACATGGCTGTCCTTCGTCCAGTGCTCTGTTAATCCTGCTTATAATGACTCGAGTGGAAAGTTTGCAGACGATAGACGGTAAGCAGGTTGAGGGATAGTTGCCCGATGTCGTTGAGGTCATACTTCTCGAACAACACCACGTTCTTTCTGGTCTTCGATTGAATAAGGACTTTGCGTTGAGACAGGGAGCGGGTGAGGAAACAAACTAGTGTGTTTACGAGGAGTCGCGGAAAGTTTTTTAAATATTCAAATCTTAGCCTGCCCGAAGCTGGTGTTGTTCCATTTTTCCCTGAGGAAATAGCATGTCGGATTTTGAAAAAGAGAACTGCTGATACGACATACTTCTTCTCCTTTATTTCACATGAAAGAACGAGGGCGTGGTTGCTAAAGAGATCTGGGTAGTATTCGTGAATGACTTTCTCCGTTGCCTTTTTGAACGCTGTAACTGTTCCGTTTGGGCGTTGGAGTGCAATCATCCTGGTCTTGTAATTGGTAAAGCCTCGATGGGCTTTGCGAATGGTTTTCCCAGCCTCTGCAGCTTCGGCCTTTACTGCTGCTCTTCTCTCTCTAATCTTCTTTATCGCCTCTCTGCATTGTTATGCAAGTTCAGACGTTAGTTCACGGTTACCTGCAGCTCGTACAATTCCACGCTGGCGTCTCAGCTCGAGTGTTTCTGGAGACAGACGTCTCTTGGCGACTTTCGAACTATTAGCTTTCATAGCGCTAACGTAAAGATGTTGAATAAGCAGTTCGTATTCTTCGTCGATGTTATCGACAACGGCATTTTTCCAACAGCCGACTGATAAATTGAATATGTCTCAGTTTACGGTGGTTTTAGGACTTTGTTTTTAAGTTCAGCGGCTTCCTCCTTTCCGAGAGAAATGGAATTTTGAACGAAGGAGATGATGGTCTGATCCTGTGTAGAGTTTTGGGACAACAGAGATATCGGTTAGGCAAATCCTTCTATTTACTATGATGTGTTCTATTTCATTATGGTACTCTCCACTGGGAGA